TGCTGAGGTGTCTAGATCCACACAGAGCATAAAAATAAAGTTTCACCTTAATAGGCAAAACAAACATCCAACAACAGAACTTGATCTCTCTTATCCACGATAATAAGAAAGAAAACAAGAAAGCAGTTATTCTTATTGCTAATTGACAGAAGTACGTATTTTTATATATATATATTAGAGTTGCTCAGTCCCTATTTATGCCTGCAGTGACATAACTGTCCTCATAAAATCATACACCGGAGCTGATGTAGTAAGTCTATCCAAAACATACAAGCAACTTATCTGCTATAAAAGCTGATGACTTTTTGGCCCTTGACGGGATGATGCTAGGTGACAGCTTCTGCCTGTCCAGAGCTGTAAGCAGACCCTGCTGGCATCAGACACCTCAAATCCAGGGGATGTAGGAAAGATGAGTTCTAGGCAATCACACAGAATTTCAGAGACACATGAGGTCTGCTGACTGAGGCAAAAATTGAGACCTTGCATGAGACAAAGGACCAAATACTGGGACGTGAAAAGAAATCTCATCTTCAAGCATCTGCAGTTCATTCCTTTTACGTAAGGAACTGCCTGAAACCTCCTTGGAGAGTTTCCGATTCTGATATAAATACTGTGTCAACTGGAAGTAACCAGGAAACAAACTTTCCTGGAGCAGGGTGAGTGCTAGACACAAGCAATGCCCGCTTTAGATTCAGCGCAGCCCCAGGAGTCACAGCGAGTAAGCAGCATGTACTCCAGTGAACAAATTAAATCCTTGCTCTGTCATCCAAATGGAAACCTGGGATAACAGAAAAAGCAAAATCATTGATAATCCGAGGTACATAAGGAAGGTATTCAAAAGAAACTGGTGAGAGCACAATGCTGAAGCAGGAGGTAGTGATAGTCTCTGTGACAAGTGCAGTATTACATGATACCACCAGCAGCAGCTTCTTCAGGTAGGGCAGAGGGGCTGCTTCTGCACCCGGGTCTCTCTCCCTAACCTCTGCTGCCCTTCTCTGCTCTGCTCCCTTCCTTGGGCTCCTCACACTCTGGGACTCCTGGGTCAAGCAAGGGCAAGGGGCGAGGATGGGCTAAATAAAAGGGATAAGATGCCTCAGCCACAGTTCTGGCCAGGGATGCTGAACTTCTAGGTCAGTACTAGAGGCGAGAACCTCCTGCCTTTTAATGCAAAATAAACAGAGCACTTGAGAAACCCCTGCTTGGCAAAGTAACACACACACACACACACAAAATCCAAACCCAATATTTCTCATACAGCTGCTCATATCTGCCACAGTTTTTTCATGCAATTATTCAGCAATGCACTGACATCTGAACACAGAGCAAGTGGGGAGGCCCTGAGACTTGAAACCATGAACTGGCCAGGTGCAAAACCCATGCGCTCCGAGAAGATCTGTTACACCCATTACCCACTTTGTGGTTTGAGACAGTCTTATAGGAACTGTGCTTGGCACACTACCCACAACAAATCATTGTTGCATGTGGTATGTATTTACTAAAAGTCTGCCTGTGAATAAGCTATAAATTCATGTTCATTCGTTTCCAGAACCTTCTATGTCAAAGCTCTAGGAGGAAGGTACTTTAAGTTGCCTCTGCCCAGCAGAAGAAAATGGGAATATTGACTTTTGTACCTGGACACTAGGCTGCAGCTGGGCCTTGGGATAGCTGCAAAATTACGTGGTGCAACAAACACAACTGCATGCACTTCCTAGACTCAATTTCATGAACTTTGATTTATGCTGTTCTGTTTCTGGCAGCAGAAGCGTCTTACCTATGCAGCAAGCACAAGCATCTGTAACTTCCATAACTCATCACACCACATGCAGATGCACTTATACAGTTCTACGGCTGTAAAACTGAAATGCCTTCTCATAACCTGAAGAGCGTATACGTGCTATTTCCATAGCAGAGCTAAATTATTTCATAATAAGATAAGAATCTCTGCCTTAGCACATGAAAAACATTCAGTTTGGGATACTCCTTCCATGCTAGAGCTGAAAGACCCATTGCATTACACATGCCCAGCTTACACAAAACAGAGAATCCAGTGATGGGTTCAAGCTCTCTAGTCTGATTGTCAGTGTTAGGTATTCCTTCTATTTCCCTTTTGGAGCCCCATCTAACCCAGAGATAAACTAAGATGACAGCAATTCCAACCAAGAACTCTTTAAAAATAATGAGAATCCAAAACATCTATTAGAGTACATTTATTTTTAAAATATGGAATATCATTTGGAAAAGAAAAGAAAAAACAAACAAACAAAAAACACAAACAATTAATACAAACGCATATTTCTGAAGAACAGTTTAAAGGCTGACTTCATCTAAAGGTATGAGCACCGAAAGAAGGAACGTGACTACTTTAGATTAATGAAAAGAGTCCTGGCCAGAAATTATGTTCCTCGCTTTTGCAAAGATTCCTTGGGAACAGAGCAGCTGCAAGAGGTCCAGCTCGCTAAGGTGAGTGGTTACAAGGTCATTAATAAATTACATGGTCACCTGCTGCTTAGGGAATAGGACTGAGGTGAAAATGATGGATCCTCTCCGTGTGTTTAACTTTGACCTCTTTCAGGACTATTACCCAAGTCATGTAAGCCATGCAGCCATTTAAAGCTTCATGTTACAGTTCCAGTTGTTTTCTGGCTTCACTAGCAATACTCATGAGTAACACCAGGAGGATAAATAAGTAACTGTTTCAGCACCATACAGATGATGCGTAATCTATACAGGTGGTGTTGTTTATACTCCAGCCCTATGCGATCAACACGTGCTGAAGATACCTTGTAGCCACTGGATAGTTTTTCACAACAAACCTTTCAGAGAACAACTGACAACACTGATCTTGGCAACTTTTTTTTTTTTTCCTCTCTACTGTGATACATCTGCTACACTGACCATTTGCACCCATCCCCTCCTCACTGACCTATGACTTCTAGAGGTGAAGAAAGAGTGGACTTGGAACGAAAAAAAAGTTACCATCTTTAGGAGAACAGGACATCTGCAACTGCGGTAGCAGCATTTTGCTAAGATAAAAGTGGTGTTAAATTCAGAAGAAGAGGAAGAATGCCTGGAAGCTATTTTCCAGAAGAAACCGGAGCAGCAGACCAGGATGACAACCAAACCCCTCCGTACAAGTGCTCTTTGGTTGAGCTATTCAGAGTGGAGGCAGTTGCAGTCTCTCTTGACACGCTGAATAAAGAACCCATTCAATTCACTCATTCCTCTGCATGGGTACTAGAAGCCACCAGGACTACCACAGAGAGTAAATTAAAAGAACTTGAGACGTCCAAATGCATCTGGCAGAATGCACATACCCAAATGCCAACGGAGGCTGGTGCACCTCTGGATGCAGCAGCCATAGCGCACGTACCGCAGCTCTGCCTTCCCTCGCCCCATTGCAGTCTTCACTGTGTTGTGTGCCTGAAGTGATCCAACCAACCAGCCCCGAGGAGGACTACATTGGGTTTGTAGAGGAGTACCTAAACATACCAAAACCACTTATTCCTAAACACTCTATCACCTCAGCCACTCTATATTTTCACATATACTACTTGTAAAGCCCATTACATCGCCTTTCCTGCTTGTTCAGAACTCCTGGGAGCTTCACAGCATCCTTCTGAAAAGGACAAACAGTGGAGCTGTTCAATAAAAAATAAATATACTCTAATTTGTCAAGTAAAAGAGGGAAGTGATAAAAATTGAAATTGTCTTTAAGGAAGGAATTAGCATGCTCACAGAAACAAAGTCCACAACTGCAAATCAAGCAGCTTCAGCCCAGTTCCCCCTCCTAGATTTTCTACCATATCCTGACTCCTCTGTCACCATCTGCCAGAAAGGCAAGTTCCTCAAATACAATCTGTATTTCTTCTTTTACCATTTACCAGCAAATCCTGGAAAATCCTCATCCATAATTTATTAAGTGATTAAACCTCATTCAGACTTTTTGTTTGAATAATACCTCATGCAACTGTTTGAGTTGGGGGTGCGCTTTGATTTAGTTCTGCTGTTGTTATGATCTGTGCTGCAGACAGTTGAAGAGGCCCTTTGCACTGGTGTAGTTTGTTCCTTCTCGTGCTGATATGCACATATTTAGATGTGCTCCAAAGTGCTTGTAAAACAAGAGAGCTTATAAATGAGCAAATTGCATTCACACTGCGAGAACTTTCCCGGTAAATATCCATCTATCTCTATGTAAGCACCATTAAAGGAGCTTAACTTGCTGTCAGTTTTCCAAACTCGACCTTGCTTTGCGGCTGGGGAAAGTTACAGTCCTCACACCTTCACTTAGCTCTTGCAGGCAGATAGCTGTGCAGTTAACTACAGCTTTCAGAAGTAAAACGCATCCATCTTTTGGGTTTGCTGCTGACAACCAAAAAGTGCTGTCTGCTGTGTGTATGCTGACCTGCATTTTCTACGGCTTACAACCCTGCCTTTTCAGAAGGGCCATTTTTCTTCTCTCTGAACAGAGACGTATGGCTCATTATGGCAACCTGGATGCCAACTTTGATGTTGGAAAGGTCAGATTTAAATAAATAAATAAATAAATAAGTAAGGCTTTTTTTTTTTTTTTTTTTTTTTTTTTTTTTTTTTCCGAGAGAGAGATTGTGCTGGTCTTCTGCAACTCAGGAAACAGCACAAGGAGCCTTGCTCGAGTCTTTCAATCACCTTTTGTTTTAAAACCTCCCGGTGTGGTGTTCGCACCGAGCAGCTACCCTACTCCGCTCCAGCCACCGCAGGCGATGCGGCGGGGATGTTTACGGGCTGTAAGGACCAGCTTACCCACTCGGGCTCCTTCCTAAGCGCAGGACCATCCATCATCCCCTTTTGTGCTACCAGGCTCCTTAAAAGGCCTACTCGCTTTAACTCCCGCGCGTCCCGGGGCTACCTCCCCGGCTTTCCGAGGGAGCCGGGCACTGCTCGCCGGCCTTTTTTGGGAAGCCCTGCCCGCGCCGCGCCGTGCAGCGCTGCCCCGACGGCGGTGCGGCGGGGAGGGCGCTCCCCCACGGAGCCGGGGGAGGGACGGGGAGCCCCGCACGGAGCCCGGGGCGAGCGCGGTCCTCCCCGGGAGGGGGCAAGGGGACAGCGAAGGGGAAGCCCCGGGGGGCAGGAGGGGTCCGGCCGGCGCCCTCCCCGTCCCCGCACCCCCTTGGCGGGCGGGAGGCCCGTGGGGGCGCGGCGCCGCCGCCGGAGCGCCGGCAGCTCCTCCCCGGCGGTGCCCCGGGAGTGGGAATAAAGACAGATAGCGGGGCGGGCGGGGAGGGACGGGCGGAGGGAGGGAAGAGAAGCGAAGGGAAGGGAAGCGAAGGGAAGGGGGCAGGCGGAAAGTTGGCTGCGCGGCCCGCGGCGATGCCGGTGGGGCGCCGAGCGCTGCGGCTGGGGCTGGGGCTGGGCGGGCTCGGCGGGCCGTAGGGCGGCGCGGGGCGCAGCGAGCCCCCGGCCCGGCCTCCAGGCGGGCGGCAGCGGGCGGCCCGGGCGGGGACGGGGACGGCGGCGGGGCCGGAGCCGGAGCGCCCGCAGGGGGAGCGGCACCGCGGAGCCGGCCGCCGCCGGGCGCGCTCGGGGGAAAGATGAGCCTGCTGTCAGCCATCGACACCAGCGCCGCGTCCGTCTACCAGCCCGCCCAGCTCCTCAACTGGGTCTATCTCTCGCTGCAAGACACGCACCAGGCCAGCGCCTTCGATGCCTTCCGCCCCGAGCCCTCCTCCTCGCAGCACCCCGACCTCGGCTACACCAAGAGCCCGCCGGAGCTGGGCTCCTCGCTCGGCTCCAGCTATCTCAACAGCTTCTTCCAGCTGCAGCGCAGCGAGGTGAGTGCGCGGCCCCCGCCGAGCCCCGACCGCCATGATGCCGCCGCCCGCCCCGGGGCTGCCCCCGGGCTCGCGGCCCGGCCGCGGGGACGCTGCGGGGAGCGGCCGCCCGCCGGCTGACACCGGGGGGGGGTGGGCAAAAAGCGCTGCTACGGGCGGCCCGACGGCTCGAAACCGCCCCCCGACACCTCAAATCCGCGCTGAAATCACTTCTGCGAGGGTAGCCGTAGGCACGGGGGGCGAGGGTGGAAGGAGGGGGCTGCGAGCTGGGGGAAAAGTTGTGCGCGCCTCGCGTCGGGCGCGGAGCAGCCCGTAGGAAAGCAGAGGGAAGGAAAGCAACCAAAGCGCAGGGCACACAAAGACAATTCACTGCGGAGCGCCCTGGCGCAGGAAGTTGTTGAGGTCAAGCACTTCTGCATCGGAGGGACCTCGCCGCTGCAGGGGGCACCGCTCCCTCGGCCGGGCCGAGCGCCCGCAGGAGGTCCCCCCCCAGCAGCAGCCGCGGGGCTCCTGCCTCGGGCCTCCAGAGGCGAGGGCTGGGGGGGCTGCGCGCCCGACCCGCGGCGGCACTCCCCCAGGGACATTTGGGAGCCGTTTCAGTCACAGTAGAGGTTTAAAATGTGTTCTCGGCCAAAATAGCTATTGCTTTTCTGTCAGCAAAGGGGTTGTTACTTGAAAAGAAATCAAGTTCCCCAGCAGTCACGGTGCTACAGCTGTTAGCAGCGGACAGCCAGAGCCGCACACACACACACGTACTTTTTTCCTTAATTAGAAATCATTTCTTCCTTCAGAATCTTGCAAAGCACATCCAGTCTCAACACTGACACTATTTTTGAGAGTATATAAATCAAAACCCAGCCGGGCTGATGCACCCAGCCTCAGTAAGCCTAACATACCCGGTTTAAATATACGCAGACTTCACAACACAGTGATTTTGCTAAAAGGCCAAGAGGGAGCGTAACACAAGCCCCCAGCTCCCTACCCACTGGTTACCAGTCGGGGATTTTGACGAGCTCTGTGCTCTCCAGGTAGCGGTAAGAGTCCGGGACTGGCCTACATGGCCTCTTTGAAGAGCGGGACACCGCTCAGCTCCGCGTTTCCAAACGTCGGGATGCACCCCGCTCACAGCAGGTCCTCATTTTCCTCCCTTTTTCTCACAAGAAGAAAGAACAAACACAGAAACCCACCCACACAAAGTACACGAAGGATGCATGCAGACCTCTGAGACAGTCTCTGAGAAAGTTTTCCTGAAGTTTCTCTAAGTTCTTTTTTCTGTTTCTACTATACCCGTTGCGAGTAGGAGCTAATCATTTTGTCACACTCTCCCTCTTCCCCCTCGGTTCACATTTCTTTCCATTTTTTCCCAAAACCCCTTCCTTTGGAACACCATTTCCCGGCAGGCCAGGGCTTCCCCCAGCTGTGGCCACCTCCCAGGGGCACTGGCCAGCCCCACCTCAGGCTCCCTGGGCCAAGAGCAGCGCACCAAGCTCCCCTCCACCCCTCTGAAGCATACGGGTGCCACCTCACACGACTCCTTTTCACCTTTTCCTGTTTCCTGAGGTGTACTAGTGACAGCCACTGAGAGCCACCAGTTCTGCAGAAAGCCTGGTGAGCTTGCAGGAAATAAGGAGTCATTTGATTCTATGCAGATATTAATATTCTTTAAAGACAGAGCACGTTAGTTTGTTCCTTTTCCAGCCTGCGGCAACAATAGCATTGACCACCCTGCTGGTAGAGACACTTTTCTCTATTTCCAGTCTTCACCTGAACTATGCATTAACGCGGCTCGCACTTAGGGAGGGGGTCTGTGCAGAGGGAAGGGGACGCTGCCACCTCTCAGGGCACAGCAGCACACTCGCACACTGGGTGAGCTCTGAAGAAGTGAGGGAATATTTTAGTCCCCAGGCTGATGCTGTCTGCTTATTCTGCATCTTTCACTGAGGGGAAGGCGTTAGAGATACTGTTACTCAAAACAACAACAACAAAAAAATGTTCTGTCAATATGTTGAATGTCCTGTTCTTTCCAGAAACTAAGCTAGACTGCTTTTTGGCAGGAGCCACACGAGTTCCCTACAATGTCATGCTCTTAATTCTTGAAATTCTAACATCTGTTTATTTGCGGATGCCATTCAGCGTACACCAAGTATTTTGACTGCGTAAAATTATTTTGGGGAGCAGTAGTGTTGTGTGCTACTTTTGCATCAAGTGGGCTTGTGCTATCTTTGGAAGACACGTAGCTTTCCACAGTTAAAGCGTTGACTGTTTTCTGCACAGTGCTTGCTTTGGTTGGCATTTTTTCCTCCCAGTTTTGTCCTGGGCTGGCTTATCCTGGAGCTGGGCTGTGACAATGATTGACAAGTAGCTGTATACAATATTTGGAAAGTGACCTAATGAGAGGCCAAAATAGCACCAGATTGAGAAATGGTAGGATCACAGGGTATAAAATAGTTATGCGCCCCGTAGGTTGCTTTGCAACTGAAAATTTTCTGGAGGAGATTGCTTGGAATAAGAGACAGCACTCGTGAGAAGTTGCTATTATACTGGGTTTGCAAGTCTGCATGGCAGTGCCTGTGTATGTGACTTGCATGCTGACCAAAGAACTGGGCAGAAAAAAAAAAAAAAAAAGGGCCAGCACCCACAGAGTAGTCTTGCACTTCACCAAGATTTTTGTCCTCCAGACTTTTTCCACTACAATGGACGCCTTCTAAATAAACATGATGAACACAGCTGTTTGGTGCATAAAAGCCCATTGTACCCAGAAAAAGAAGCAATAATAAAGGTTTAAACAGTAAAGCGACAATGAATGTTTTGTTCCATATGCAAGACTCATTTTGCAAAACAGACCTGCTTTAAATAAAACTTTACTGCAGCATTTAATGTCCTAGATATGAAACGAAAGCATGTTAGAACATTAAGATGTATTAAATTGGCTATTGAACCCAACTCCACCCTCATTATAACACCATCCGTCAGAGCCAAGTATTTGAGGTTTTGTTGTGAGGCTGGTTACATGGGAATTAAGGCATTTGAGACACAGCCAGGTAACTGTGGCTTTGTGTCATTGCGTGGTATAATTGAGAAACCTAGAATAATGGGGCAATAGAGTCATATGGCATTTTTCTACTCTCACAGTAGGCTTCCTACTAAATCAGTGCTGACTTTGGTCAAGAGGAGACAGCTACAACTAACTCCAAGTTACCATATTATAATCAAACTTGTTTCTTTGAACATAAAGTGCTAATTCCAGAACAGGCCAATATTTACACAAGAAGGAGCCCATGTCCTAGCGAATTCTTTACCCACGTACAATGCTTCGCATGTCTTTCCAAGAGGGGAATTCCTTCCAGAAACCTCTACAGCAGATCCAAACCAGGTCTTATTTAAGCCCAAATAACTGCATGTATGGGATTAGAAAACAATCCATGTTTTTGAGAAGCAGTTCATGTTTTTGACTCAAGGACTTGCAGATCCATTCTTTACAGGCAAGAGAGGAACTAACTGGGAATGAGAGAACATGAGCTAGTTCAATCGGCTGCATTAAAGTGCAGATCACTCCCTCAGGAAGGAAAATTTGGGGAATTAAAGAAAAAGAAGTTAGAGCCTATACTACAGCAAATCCTGATGAAACCCAGTGGAACATAAGCAGGTCTGCAGCACTGGGATCAGTACAGCTTGTGAAGCAGCTTTCTAAAGATGAAAGGTTAATAAGACAATGACATTCATGTATATTATTGTTAAAAAATAAATAAATGATGAAACACTTGCAAGAACAGGAAGACGTGTGGTAGGAATATAGCATTTCTACAGAAAATACATTTTCTATCAAACAACCTTTTTTCCTGTCTGTCCTTCATAGAAGTTTTGGCAAACAAACTAGCTGAATACATCACAAAGACCTCTTCTTTACCCTAGGTGAACTAATTTGAAGGGTAACAGTAAGGAAAAACAACAACAAAAAAACCAACATGAGTTCTCCCATCTTCTAAGTATCAGAGTAATACAGGGATTGCCATACAAGATCAGGTCAGTGCCCCACTAAGCGAACTGCCATCTCAACAGCCACAAACAAAGACTTCAAAGACAAAACACTTTGCAAGAGACAAAACACCTTGTGTGAAGCTGCTCGCAGCTGGTGAGGTCCTAGAGCAAACAGAGCAGAGATGAGGGTTAGCAGAAAGGGCCCTATGCTCTGGGACACTTCTGACTCCCCTAGTTCTCTGGCCAGTCGTTAGGTGCTCCAGCACAGAGAGTATCTGTGATCCACCCAGCACAAAGCTTGCTCAGACTGGACTCCTTGCTTCTACATTGCAGACTCAACAACTACAGTTATCTTTCTCCTCTTCCTGAAGTGTCCTTAAACGTAGCGCAGTGTATAGGTTGCCTTCAATAGATGAAGTCATGTTGAAAATAACTTCAAAAAAAGTCTTGGTTCCTGTATTTACTTATTCTCCCAGTAAGTGTAAGATTTACTTTTAGCACAGACGAAGTGTGTAGGATCACAAAGCATCAAACACACTGCACAGGGCTGTTCCTGCAGTAAGGTTTTCTTACCTGGACAAAGGCAATAGCAAGAGAGTCTGGCTACTGGCATTGATTGGCCTTTACATTTTCAGTATTAGATGTTACTATTTCTCAAGCTGAACCATTTAGGTTTTTCTTAAGAAAAGGAGAAAGTTCAAGTATTACTTCAAAAACACATACACACAAAAAAGCTAAGTCTGCAAATAAAATCTAGCAACTATATCTACATCCTCAAAATGTGAGCGGCCTGACAAAAGTCATTTAGATAAATTTAAAGTAGTAAGAATTTCACATATTTGAGAAAAAAGTGTGTTATGGAATAATTAAACATTCCACTAAGACTGCCAGCTGTAAATTACTCTTAAAACATCCATCAATAACAGTGATTATCATTTGATTGATCTCCTTGCCTTGATTTTTCTCATTATTGTTTATTTAAGTGCTAAAACTGAAACTTAAGTTAAACTTAACTTGGAAAG